TAACCACTGATTTCTAGTCGTGTCCTCTTTTGGCAGACCAAACAAAGTAGTTTCACTTTCACAACGAAACACATGGCGGGCTAGAGTGAGCGGCAGCGGGCGGGTTTGAGAACGGCGCAGCAGGCGGGCTTGCGGCAACCACATGTGGCGACCCCGGGCTGGACTCCGCTTCGTCCACAGTGAAAGCCGATCCGGCGATCCACAGCGTGAAGTTGATGTATTTCCACAGCGACCAGTACGGATCAGCTCCAGGCATGACGAAGCGATATCCTCCTCTTTTGGAAGGTCAAACAAAGTAGTTTCGCTTTCACAACGAAACACAACAACAATACTACAGCGAGAATCAAAGTTACGCCTTCTTTCTTTGCGTGAACATTTGGGCGGCGTTATGTTAAATCTTCCCACATTGTGACGTAGACATGTGGGGGCGTGTTAGAACGAGCTGTTTTAGGTAGGTGTGGCTGACTCTTAACTTTTATAAAGAATATCTCTTTGGATTTGAGACTTTAGTCTTTGCAACTTTACAGATCTTCTTTGTGCACCAAGAGCTTGTAACACGCCAAAGAGAAAGGAAAAATTGAAATCGCATCATATGACCCCTTTAAGAGTGGAAAAATGCCTACTACAATGCAATGTGCCTGTCTTGACCTTACATTTCTATCTGGCCAACGTGACAACATTTATTTTTAGCTTTGCGTTCTTTCCCATGCTATGTTTTGATTATTAGTAGGCATTATATACTTTGTAATATGCTGGAAGCATTATGTTAGTAGTCCTTGCCAAATAGGACATAGCCATGGAGAGTTTTGTGCACATTCTCACCTTGTATATCTGCTCATTAACTGTCCTGACCTCCACCAGGTCTCCAGTCTGGTCAATGCTGTAGACAGCTCTGCCCAGCTTCACACGGTCACCCAGCTCTCTCGCCATCGCCTCACTGATTTGATTGGCACCTCCGGCAAACTTGCGCTCCTGTCATATTGGGCAGCAGAAAACAGTTTTCCACACTTTTTGGTTAGACTTTGTATGTAATAGAAATGATCAGTTGAATATACATGAACGTTCCCATTTCAACAAGGACTGCAATTCTTTAATTCACCAATAGGGGTCTCTGTCTCTTAGAGATAGAATTATGACAGAGTTGTATAATACTGCCCACCATGCACATACCTTACCAGACACATTAAGAATATAAAACAGGTTAAAGAACAATAACAGGCATATCATAACAGTTTATTGACAATGTCATTCCATAGGGAATTAAAGATAAAAGACGTGACATTTTGTTATCAATTTAATTAACAAAAGTCTTATTTGCTATATTTGTGTACCATCAGAGGACACATTTGCTAGAAGACTCCTGCTATAAATGTGACCCAGATACAGTGGCCACTATTTTGGTGTGTTACATAATCAGTTCAGTGTCACAGGAATGAATGGGTACGACACAAGGTAGCCTCTCTTGAGAAGTGTATACTATAATTATATACTATATAATCAACTAACTTGAATAAAAAATCATCATGGATGAATAAACAAACTGAATATACTCCCCTATAAGGAGTATTGCAGTGGCTTAACTGAAAAATTACTGTGAATAGTTTACACATTACTCATTTGTTTTGAGGTCAATACTGTTTTACCGGTATTCTCACTTTTTGTTACTGGTTGTAAAATATGAGGTCTACCAATAGATGGCACCAAGTGATCTTTTCTTTAATGATAATAATAATAGTAATAATAATATACTAAAATACTAAATAAAATGTAGTATAATGATCTAGTTATTGTGTCAAAAAGCAAAAAATAAAACAATGAAAAATTGGCTCTCCGTATCAGTTATTGGATATTTAAACTAAAATTATAATGAACAAACAAACAAAACAAAAACTACAGATACTGTATTGTATCTATCATAAAAAGTATTGGTTGAGAACAAAAAGCTACAATCTATCACAGACATCAAACCTGGCATGACATGTCTGACATGACTATATTTAAATATGCAGTTTGAATATTTTGTATAAGTAAACTCTGCCTTTAACCGATATGTAACCCTTCCTCTCTACTCATAACAGCAAAACATTTCTCTTTCTTCCACAGAAAGTAAATTTTTTTGCCTTGCAACAAGACCCATTTTGAGAGCTGTGGTTAACTAAATTAGGGGTACAGACTGAACAGTGACAATGACTATTGGACTTGGCAGGAACATTGGATTGAACAGCTACAGCTTGATTTATATCACTATTTCTAACACCTGCTTTCCAGGCCTGCCAATATTTAAAAAAAGATGCTGTTGTGTGAGGACACTAAACCCCCAAACCTGTCACTCCCTCGGCCTGCCATTCTCTCATTCTCCCACAGATGTTCATTATACTGTAAACACAAGCACTGGTGCAGTGAAAAAGCCAAAGAGATATGCACAAACACACTGCGAAAACATTAATGTCGTGGAGTTCATATGTTTGCCATATAATTAACTCTGGTCTTCGACAGAGAAATAACCAACCGAGATAACATAGTATACAAACATTACGCAACAGGCCTACAGTTTCTTGAAGCTAATCTGTTGTATAAAGACTTACCTGGCCTCCATTTGTGGTAGAGAAGATTCTCATGGTGCCTCCACACTGCTTGACGTACCAGAGGAACCACAGAGCAGACACCTCATGGGGCTCGGAGGTCACGTTCACATTGACGAACAGAGTGGCAAAGCGACGAGCGGCGCTGCAAGCAACCCGTGGGTGAAGAGATATGCCATCAACAGCCAATATGCCACAATAATACCTGATATTAATTGGTCCCTTCTCTGTACCTGGTCCAACAAATTTTGTCAAAGAGTTGCTGCATAGTCATCTTGTCCCACTCTTCCGCATGAGGGGCCCTCCATGGAGCTTCTTTAGAAATCTAAAGTGCACATTTGTGATCAGAGACTCAGTCTATTTATTCACTTGAATTAATTCTGATTCCAGTTCCTTAATAGTTCCAATAACGATTATTTTTAAGAATCAACAGAATTATATTGCCAAAATTATGAGAGAATTTAATTTAAAAATAAATATAAAACAATTCTCGGAAAAGGTGTTTTCACTTTTACATATTTTTCATAGTCATAGTGGAGAAAGTTCCTTTAAAGTGCCCCTATTATGGATTTTTGAAAATTACCTTTAATGGAGTGTGTGACACAGCTCTAAGTGAATGAAAACATCCTGCAAAGTTTTAAATCTGAAAGTGCACCGTGCATAAAGTTATTGTCTCTCAAAAGAAAGAGTTGACTCTGAATCATTGAAACGAGTCACTTTTAAAACGAATCCCAAGCCGATGTCAACATGAAACATTAGCATATTGCCCACCCACTTGTTGGTCAATGCGCTCGCTGCTTTATCAAGCAATATGAAATGAAAATGAGACCAATCGGACCAATCACCGAAGATTAGTGTCACGCAAAGGAGGGGTTTGGAAAAATGAATCGTTGAGCGAAATGTTTGAGAGTCGTTGAGCAAGTAAGGTAAAAATAAATGCATATTATAAGACAGTGAAATAGTTTTTTGACCTTGCATGCAAGTCAACCTGTTGTTGGGGACTCCCAAAACCAAAATATAAACCTTTCATTACCCATAATAGCGGCACAAAGTATTAAACAATACAAAACTAAATGTAGTAACATATTTCTTTCATTATTTATAAAATACTGCTGACAAAGTGCATACAACTAGCCAGATTTAGGTCTCAGTTACTTGTAAACTATGTATTTTATTCACTAGGACTCATTAGAATCATTTGTTCATAAATTGGACTACATTGTTTGCATTCGATTAACTAAAGAGCTGACTCATTACAGTAATTAATTCAGAAATCAAACAACATTAGTCGCACTGTACACATTTGATTCAATAATAAGAACTGATGTATTAGGGTATTTCTTTCAGTAATAAAACTACACTGGCTACACTGTTTGTTTTTGATTCACAAGAACCAGCTCATTAAAATAATTCATTAGGGAATCGGTCTACACTGGTTGTGTTGTATGTTTGATTCACTAAAAAGAACCAGCTTATGATAGTTATTCATACAAGTATCACATTACACATGTTACACTATATGTGTCATGGTACTGAAGAGTGATGAAGCTAGGACTCAAGGTGCAGGAAGAATGGGTCTTTTTAATAATAAAATGAAACAAAAAAGAACAAAAACTACCCCGAGGGGGAAAACCAGGCAGACAGGCTAGGAACAACAACACGGGTAGACATAACACACACACAGGACGTAAAACAACGGATCAGCACAGGACTGCAGACAGCAGGAGAATAAATAGGGAGACTAATGAGGAGGGTAACGAGCAGTGTTGCCAACTAATTTTCAGGGGAAGTTGCTAAAGGAAGGTTGATTTGTTGCTAAAAGTTGCTAAATGATGTTGTGATGTCATTGATGGATGACGTCAGCAAGTAATCACGATGCAAAATTGTCAAATCTCAGCAAAAACATATATTTTTATACGTTCATTAAGATTTGTTCGTAATAATATAAATGCATAATATAATATTAAAATATAAATACAAATTTTTAAATACACTGAATTATCGAAAGCTTACATATTTTTGAACAATTACAATTTAAGTTTTTATTATTATTATTAGCTAGTAAACAAGTAAAACTACAAATTCATGTTGTGATGTCATTGATGGATGACGTCAGCAAGTAATCACGATGCAAAATTGTCAAATCTCAGCAAAAACATATATTTTTATACGTTCATTAAGATTTGTTCGTAATAATATAAATGCATAATATAATATTAAAATATAAATACAAATTTTTAAATACACTGAATTATCGAAAGCTTACATATTTTTGAACAATTACAATTTAAGTTTTTATTATTATTATTAGCTAGTAAACAAGTAAAACTACAAATTCTGAACAATTACACTTTTAAGCAGTGTATTGGTAGATATGCTACACTCTAAGAAAAGTATGTAAAAAAAATAGTGCACAATCTACTATGTTAATATGAAGGAATTTTCTGTATTGATTTTTCCACAGGTTCTTTTTTACCTGCATTTTTAATTACGCATTTTCGGGTTACAACGGATAATGTCCTGGAAAATTACTAGCACCTTTTCCATTTTTCTACATATTTTTCTAGTTAGTTAGTACACTGTAAGAAAAATATGTAGAAATATGGAAAAGGTGGCGAAAAAATGGAAAAACAACCTGCGATTGTTGATGAGTTAGTAACTACCTCATCAACAATCACAGGTACAAGCTACTAACAAAGTGTCTCATAAATGAACAATAACAGTATTCAATTATGAAATTATTATTATTACTATTCAATTAAACAATTGCAAATAGCAGCTAACTTAATTCCTGTGATGTGTGTACTGCTAAGCATCTTCGGATTTTCTCTTTTTGTGTAATTTAAATGGTAAATTGTGCCTTTTTATTGTTTGAGTCACTTATCAAAAGTTGCTAAAAGTTGACAAATTAATTTTAAAAATAGCTAAATATGTTGCAAGGTGCTTTTAGAAGAAAAAGTTGCTAGGGTAGTCTGAAAAGTTGCTAAATTTAGCAACAAAATTGCTAAGTTGGCAACACTGGTAACGAGGGAGACACAGGTGGAGCAAGTGAAATAATGATGATGTGACAAGATGGGAGGGGACAGACAATAAGACAGGAGAGAGCACATGGCACCAAACAAACACAACACAAGCCATGTGCTCTCACAAAACCACAGGAGTGCCCTCTGGTGGCCATCTTGGGCACTCCAGCTGCAGACTGTGACGATATGTGTTTGATTCACTTAAAGAACTGACTCATTAGGCTTATTGATTAGGAAATTAGTCTACACTGGTTGCATTGTATGTTTGATTCCCTAAAAAGACATTATTCATACAAGTATCAGATTACAGATGTTGGACTGTATGCGTCTGAGTCACAAAAAAATACAGACTTAAGAGAGATTTGAGTGCACTGGTTGTGTTGTGTGTGTTCAATTCACTAAAAATAATTAACTAGTCATTCAGAAAATCAGACTATACTGGTAATGCTGTATGTGTTTGATTCACTACAATGAATCGACTCATGAGAGTCATTCATTTGAAAATCAGATTACATGTGTTTGATCACTGTATGTTTGAGAGTTTGTTTTGTGATGTATATTCAGCAGCAGTGTTGTGGTGGCATTCAATAAGTATTGCAGGTAATTATCATGTATACAGGAGAACAGTTAATGGAAGTCGGTTTTGAATAAAAATGGCCTTTACCTCCATTCCCATCTTGTCCATTGTCCTCCAGAGGTTGTTGTAGTCCAGGTAGGCAAGAGGGTTCCACATTGGAGGAAAAGGCCCTTTGAATGGATATGATTTGCCCTGGGAAACAAGAAACAGTGTTCGTAAGAAACCTACTACCATAGCACCAAATAATGAAAATTGTGATTATTATTTTGTCATTGTTGACGTAATGTTGGTAAATTGTGCCTTTTTATTGTTTGAGTCACTTATCAAAAGTTGCTAAAAGTTGACAAATTAATTTTAAAAATAGCTAAATATGTTGCAAGGTGCTTTTAGAAGAAAAAGTTGCTAGGGTAGTCTGAAAAGTTGCTAAATTTAGCAACAAAATTGCTAAGTTGGCAACACTGGTAACGAGGGAGACACAGGTGGAGCAAGTGAAATAATGATGATGTGACAAGATGGGAGGGGACAGACAATAAGACAGGAGAGAGCACATGGCACCAAACAAACACAACACAAGCCATGTGCTCTCACAAAACCACAGGAGTGCCCTCTGGTGGCCATCTTGGGCACTCCAGCTGCAGACTGTGACGATATGTGTTTGATTCACTTAAAGAACTGACTCATTAGGCTTATTGATTAGGAAATTAGTCTACACTGGTTGCATTGTATGTTTGATTCCCTAAAAAGACATTATTCATACAAGTATCAGATTACAGATGTTGGACTGTATGCGTCTGAGTCACAAAAAAATACAGACTTAAGAGAGATTTGAGTGCACTGGTTGTGTTGTGTGTGTTCAATTCACTAAAAATAATTAACTAGTCATTCAGAAAATCAGACTATACTGGTAATGCTGTATGTGTTTGATTCACTACAATGAATCGACTCATGAGAGTCATTCATTTGAAAATCAGATTACATGTGTTTGATCACTGTATGTTTGAGAGTTTGTTTTGTGATGTATATTCAGCAGCAGTGTTGTGGTGGCATTCAATAAGTATTGCAGGTAATTATCATGTATACAGGAGAACAGTTAATGGAAGTCGGTTTTGAATAAAAATGGCCTTTACCTCCATTCCCATCTTGTCCATTGTCCTCCAGAGGTTGTTGTAGTCCAGGTAGGCAAGAGGGTTCCACATTGGAGGAAAAGGCCCTTTGAATGGATATGATTTGCCCTGGGAAACAAGAAACAGTGTTCGTAAGAAACCTACTACCATAGCACCAAATAATGAAAATTGTGATTATTATTTTGTCATTGTTGACGTAATGTCTTTATCATAGCCATCATGACCTCATTATCATTAGAAGTGTAACCAGTCTGGAATGGAAAATGGTTTTTGCTGCCTAAAATATACGTAACTGCATTTCGCCTGGCTTGGAAACAAATCAGTTAATGGAGGGACTCTGTTCACAGCCTTTACAGTTCACGTTAATACAACCAGAAGATCAGAAATCACTCGACTTTATCAAATCTCAGTAAAATTTTATGAATTTCACATAAAAATGTGACAGTCTTCTTCATTGGGAGCAGGAAAAAGATATATATGCTCATTAGGGGGTTGGAGTGGAATATACAGTAATGATAAAGCATCTATAAATAGGCATTAATGATAATGCTAATTCAGTAAAATTCATAATCACAGATAATGACAATATTAGCCTTTGGCAAACAGCAGCTATATGACACAAGCTGTTCACACATCGCTTGCTTCCCACAGTAGTGGAAACGCTTAGTCAGTATGATCATTCTCTGCAGCTGGCCAATAGGGTAACTATATGCAGACATTACTTCATACCTGGATTGCTCTGTTGCTGTGGGGCTCTTAAATAAGCACCACTGGGCTGATTGATTAATGTTTAACTACACATCAAAGACGAAGCGCTGCGTTTCAATATGTTGTTCTTCAATATAAAGCCTCTAATGATGGCTAAACCCATAAAGATAATAAAAATGAAATCTCTGATAAAGAAGGCTTGAGATGGACAGTTGAAAATGTGCTAAAGGTTATTACTTTAGCACTGAATCAGGCAACCTAGTCAAAACTGCTGACAAAAACAAAGACCTGTCACCTAGAAGGATTCTCACGCACCCCTGGGTTTGATGTCCAGTGTTCACTTCCAAGCAATTTGTCATGTCATAGTGATTTGTGCATTTTAACCACACCGTTTCGGAAAACCCTGTAATTTTATTGCTCGCAGAAACATTTGAGGGGAACCAAAGTGGTTTTTGAGTCAGACTAGAATGCACTTAGGACAGATAAATGACTGAAGACTTCAAATGGCAGACCACCGCAAAACAACAGAGGAACGCCATGCTCCTTTTTGAGTGGAACTATGGCAGTTCTGGCTCTCCTGGTGCCCTAAACAAGATGAAACATGACCAAAATCAAAGAAAGAAATCACAACTTAGCAGTCCAGCATTACAAGGTTCAAATCAAGCCTATTATATTAATAATAACAAAAGGAAACTGAACTTGACATTTTTAAGATATAATACTATAAGATATTATACATTTACATTTATCCATTAGCCTACGATTTTATGCAACGTGCCTTCCATTGCATTCAAGGTTTAAATTCATACAGTTCATGCATTCCCTGGCAATCAAACCCATGAACCCATGACCTTTCCATTAGCACCATGCTCTTGAGCTACAGGAATTATAAAACATATATTTTTCAAATTTAAATTACACTTTTGATAAGAAACATGCATGAGATTTCTCCAGAAATGTCAGTTGAACCCGTATATCTTACAAAAATGGTATCCTTGGCCTAAGTTGGGTTTTCAAAGAAGCAGATGTATAATTTTTTTATGTGACTTGGCCATCTGCATCTGCAAGCCAACTAACACTAGGAAAACTTGTTCAGCTAAATAAGGGACCATGACATTTCCATATAATTTGCGAGCCTGCCAGACCAATGCTGGAGAGGACACTGGATTGCTCAGCATCCAGCAACAGGTCTGTTCCCATGGCAACAGAATTGCGGTGGAGAGATGGAATGATATCTTTTCAGCCACAGCAGAACCTAAGCCTCTCTATCACTAACCTCATACTGCTCTATATCCACACCGCTGCCCACCTCCTCAGTAACAAGCAATGAAATGAGACCACATCCTGTCCAACGCAAATGTATCATCCTCCAAAGTAACATTCTGTTTGCCTGTGTGTTACAATATAGACTTTTTACAGAATGAACATATATTCTTTTGAAGAAATAAGCAGTCATTATAAGCAGTTGTGCACAATGTTTTGCATTTTTTGCACCGATATTAACCGATACTGATAAACTTGCAATTGTTTTTATGTTATGGCGATAACCGATAAATGGCTGATATTAAAATCCTACACTACTTTCTCTAAATAAATAAAAAGTACCTTTATATAAAAGGTATATAAGGCAACATTTTATCTAAATCTACCGATAAAACATCTAATATCAATATCCAATACATTGTTCATTCCTAGAAAACAGTAACTATTTTTGCAAGTTTGTTTAATGCTGCTAGTTGTTTAGACATTACATTTTTAAATTTGAAAATACCAAACTTTAGGTATTAACAGTAAAACTATAAACATATTACATATTGCAATAGTACCAACAACAATGTAATTCCTAGTAGTTCCACAACAATAAGTATATGTGGTTTATTAGTATTGCTCAGAAACCACTAATGTAAATGCACAGTAATGCAAACACTGTACAATAGGCTGTATTAGTTTTTAACAACACTGCCTTTGCACAACTGTTCAATCATAATCATATTGATATGCTTAGACTGCCAGAAAGAGTAGAGCAGTTCCTCACAGACCGAGGCAGAGGAAACTGGGTCTGGCCTTTAGGATTACAGCTATAGAAAAGCTGATTACACGGGCGCCTTGGCTGCACGTTCACCTTAATTATAAAATGGTCTGCTCATTGTAAGGCCCTTATTGGCTAATACTGGCTCAAGGCCAATACGTGATTGCTGAGTAACAGGTGATACTATAAAAGCGGTTGTAAAACTTTCAACAAAGCGTGCAGGAGCAGATTGGACTGACTACGTGAGAGGCTGATAAAACTACCCTATGAGCCTCTTTCATAAAACTATGCAGAAAAATGGACACCATTCAGCAAAACACTGATAATATCCAGGATAAACTCAAAAGGTGAATTACACAAGGTCTACAGACTAGATCAATAGAGATTCATTCATTCATTCCTCAATGACAAAGCATAATTGTGTTAGTGACCTATAACAATTAAAGTGCAGTCACATTAGCAACATTTTACAAACAAAAAAGGTTTGCCAATTGTCAATAGTGTAGCAATGTATAAAGCACAACTCCCACAAAAATCAATTTCAAACCAAGCAGCTTTCTGTTGCTCACCACCTTTGCGAAATCTTTCGCACTGACACTAAATTACAGATTGCATGGCTTCCTATTTAAAATGACTGGATTTCTCCCCTCAAAATTCGCAGAACAGTGGTAAATGTGACCGCAATTTTGGTTGGAAATTGTACACTGGCTTTATTAATTAGTGGGTTGTCACCAGACATTTGCATGGCTCAATATTAAAAACCTGACTTTGGTGCCTCTGTGGACTGAAGCGACTTGGTTATGAAGGAAACGCCCCTGATCCCAAAGACAGAGCCAGACATCATGGTGAGAGAAAACGTGAGAAAGAGAAAGAGAAAGAGAGTGTGTCCCCTCAATCCCGATAGCGATTGTCTTTTGAGGAGGAGTGCTGCCATGGTAACCCACAGGGATGCTCCGATCAGGAGATAATGGCACAAGGAGAGAGGGGACGTCTCCTTCAGAACATACATTAACAGAAACACACACATAATTAATCATTAGGACAGACACATTCGCATTCATTCAATTTAAATCACAACACGTACCAAAAAGCAGCCTATAGCAAGACAGACCATAAGAGTATTGGTTGAAATGAAGAAGCCAAATGAAAATGTGATGTAGCACAGCACTTTCCTTTATTTTCAAGTAGTATCAATGAGCTTCTGAACAGCATCTCTCTTACAGATGTCTGAATCCATGCTGATGCTTTCTTCCACAAATAAAGTCTTGAAATCAATGAGATGTGTTCATAGCCTCTTCCTGGTGTCTACCTCATTCTGCATTACTGCCTTTGTGTTTATTCTGACAAAACCTGTTAAGGACGAGCTGGTTTGATATTGACTTTGACAATGATTGTGCTGTCAAACTGCACAAACCAAGGAATGGGAACCACAGATTGCTTTTTAAAGGGTTTGCATTTTTATAGAAATGACTCCAGCAGGAATATGAGGCACTGTACTGTAACTCAAAAGATCAAAAATATGCTAGCAAACAAAAATATATAGCCTATATACAGGTGCATCTCAATAAATTAGAATATTGTGGAAAAGTTCATTTATTTCAGTAATTCAACTCAAATTGTGAAACTCGTGTATTAAATAAATCCAATGCACACAGACTGAAGTAGTTTAAGTCTTTGGTTCTTTTAATTGTGATGATTTTGGCTCACATTTAACAAAAACCCACCAATTCACTATCTCAACAAATTAGAATATGGTGACATGCCAATCAGCTAATCAACTCAAAACACCTGCAAAGGTTTCCTGAGCCTTCAAAATGGTCTCTCAGTTTGGTTCACTAGGCTACACAATCATGGGGAAGACTGCTGATCTGACAGTTGTCCAGAAGACAATCATTGACACCCTTCACAAGGAGGGTAAGCCACAAACATTCATTGCCAAAGAAGCTGGCTGTTCACAGAGTGCTGTATCCAAGCATGTTAACAGTAAGTTGAGTGGAAGGAAAAAGTGTGGAAGAAAAAGACGCACAACCAACCGAGAGAACCGCAGCCTTATGAGGATTGTCAAGCAAAATCGATTCAAGAATTTGAGTGAACTTCACAAGGAATGGACTGAGGCTGGGGTCAAGGCATCAAGAGCCACCACACACAGACGTGTCAAGGAATTTGGCTACAGTTGTCGTATTCCTCTTGTTAAGCCACTCCTGAACCACAAACAACGTCAGAGGCGTCTTACCTGGGCTAAGGAGAAGAACTAGACTGTTGCCCAGTGGTCCAATGAGAGCAAGTTTTGTATTTCATTTGGAAACCAAGGTCCTAGAGTCTGGAGGAAGGGTGGAGAAGCTCATAGCCCAAGTTGCTTGAAGTCCAGTGTTAAGTTTCCACAGTCTGTGATGATTTGGGGTGCAATGTCATCTGCTGGTGTTGGTCCATTGTGTTTTTTGAAAACCAACGTCACTGCACCCGTTTACCAAGAAATTTTGGAGCACTTCATGCTTCCTTCTGCTGACCAGCTTTTTGAAGATGCTGATTTCATTTTCCAGCAGGATTTGGCACCTGCCCACACTGCCAAAAGCACCAAAAGTTGGTTAAATGACCATGGTGTAGGTGTGCTTGACTGGCCAGCAAACTCACCAGACCTGAACCCCATAGAGAATCTATGGGGTATTGTCAAGAGGAAAATGAGAAACAAGAGACCAAAAAATGCAGATGAGCTGAAGGCCACTGTCAAAGAAACCTGGGCTTCCATACCACCTCAGCAGTGCCACAAACTGATCACCTCCATGCCACGCCGAATTGAGGCAGTAATTAAAGCAAAAGGAGCCCCTACCAAGTATTGAGTACATGTACAGTAAATAAACATACTTTCCAGAAGGCCAACAATTCACTAAAAATGAATGTTTTTATTGGTCTTATGAAGTATTCTAATTTGTTGAGATAGTGAATTGGTGGGTTTTTGTTAAATGTGAGTCAAAATCATCACAATTAAAAGAACCAAAGACTTAAACTACTTCAGTCTGTGTGCACTGAATTGATTTAATACACTAGTTTCACAATTTGAATTGAATTACTGAAATAAATGAACTTTTCCACGACATTCTAATTTATTGAGATGCATCTGTATACAGTACAATAACATTAGATGGTTAATTACATAAAAAATTACTCATCCTTATGTTCTTCTGTGGAATACAAAAAGTGCATTTCTGAAACATGCACTACAGTTCAAATTTGGGGTCTGTAAGATTTAAAAAATATATTAATATTTTATTCAAGAAGGATGCATTAAACTGATCAAAACTGACAGTAAAGGCACTTATAATCTGAAGTGTTCTGTATATGACTTCTGAAGACATATAATAGTTCTGTGTCAAAGTTATTAGCTGGAAATATTGAGAAAAGCACCTATGTATGATTCATGATTGAATAGTTAAATCATTAGGTTCAGTACACAGTCTATATGACTTATTCACTGATCTCAAATTCAACTCACTGACTCAGTGAGGTCACCACATTTAACAGACCACTGAAACAACAAGCTATCATGTGACTTTCATTACGGAACAGTCATTGACCACTTTATTATATGTCTTTGCTGCTTTTTAAAGCTAGAAAGCACTATTCATTGTAACTGCATAGAAAAGCACAACCAGCACATTCTGCAAAATTTCTCCTTTTGTGTTCAAAAATCAAGTCATGTAGGTTTGGAACAACTATTTTCATTTATTGGGTGAACTTTCCCATTAACAAGATTCTACTACTTTCACATTCCTGATTTTTAATATTGAGAGGATTTAGGATATTGAGACCGAAAGCAAAGTTAAAGTTTCAGATATTTAGCATTAAGCAAATATTTACACGAATAATGTCTAGATTTGATGGTATGGTGTTACACAGTTAACTATTCTGCTGGGCAAAATGAAAGATTATGGGAATCATGCCAAAGGGTCTTTTCCACGGCAGCTGAAATCCAGTTTCATCCTGACATAATCTACAATGAACACTCCAATGAATCTCCACCATGACCTTTCCCTTCGTGCACACCGCCTTCTTGAGTATGTGTGAGCTTGTCGTTTTCCTGGTCTCCATATTAAGAACCCCTTTGATTTACCATGATAACTTTAAAACAACCTGTATTTTTCTTATGAAATATGACCACAGAAAGCAGTAAAGCCCACATGATAAAGAGCAGTACTAAGAATCCAGTGATTTATACCTGTAATAGCAGGGTCAGAGCGGTGAAGACACTGAATCTACAGCCAAATCTAATAAGGTCATGCAGCGTGCATGTGCAAAGGGCAGTGATGCGTCTACTCAAATTGGATATGGGGCAGGAGGAGGGGAGGCTGGTTTCTTGAGTTCCGCCCTTCTTACCCACTCCAAGCATCTGAGACCATATTACAGACTTCCTTCAGGCAGCGATTAGCATCTCCAGGCTTGAGCACAGCACACTAATGTGAAGGAAGAGCCCTGTATTCAGCCCTGTTCAGCTGAGCTGACTTCCTGTGCATTAAGACAGCAGTGTGCTTAAACAAAAGGCTGTATTATTAGCCAAAGCTCTGGCCTGAGGCTGTGAAGAGAGATGGATTTTGAGGCAGGAGAAAAATCTTGCTTGAATTTCGCAGATGTTTTGCTTTTGATTCGGTAATAAGTCTAGGCTGCTACATGTGTAGACCTTCACTGAAGTTTACCTTCACATAGTGAACCAGAGACTCCTCCTCGTTGACTTTGTATGTTTTCACGCCGTACTGTTTGGCTATTCTCAGAATGCGGTTTTGAGTGGGCCCAATGTATGCTCCTCCTAGATCCACCCATTTGGTTTCCTTATTCTGAAAGCACACAGATTCACAATGAAATAGTCACTAACATTTCTACAAGCCACGCTGAAACCAAAAAAAAAGGAAAAACAATAAAGAAGTGTTAGAATATGCATGCAAAGACAGCAGATTCCCTTCCATGTGTATAGGCAGCCTCCCACTATAGGCAATTTGAAACTCAGTTTTGACTTTCACCCTTCTTTCGACATACTCGCCGTGGTGGCGAAATGCTGACTTAAGCCAAATGACTCAAGGTTAAATCAGGTTAAAAGCAGTGTTTTTAACTTTAGGGGCATTTTTTTCTAACTTTATTAGATGTATGCATCACCTTTTGTCACAAATTCTTACATTTAATCAATAAATTCAAAGGGCTGTTACCAATCAAATATACCAGATAAACCACTATCAACTATATCCATTTTTGCAGTGCATAAGTGGCACAGAAACTGCATCTGAAGTGGCATTTACATGTATTTACATAGACTGTTGAATGCAGAGGTGGCATAAATGCATTTACACTGCAATTACAATCACATAAACAATGTTTCAAAGTACAATTCTGAATACTGAATGTGAAGCAATGATTCTTCGAATAGGCAACATCACAATGAATGTGTGGACTCAAGGAGTGCTCAAGGAGTTTATGTTTTGTGAGTGACATACTCAATGTTAAGTTGCACGTTGTTAAAACAACTATGATATTATCATATCGCACACCCCTAGTTGTGATATTATAGTCCATGACTCATGTTCCTATCACACATGTAAAAGCAGACCATGTGTCATGCAATGAAGTAATTTCATTTGCTTCAGATGTCTTCAGATATCTTACCTGAACAGTGTAGGTTCTTCCACCAACACGGTTTCTGGCTTCCAGGAGCACAGGATTCAGGCCGCTCTCCACCAACAGCTTGGCGGCACTCAGACCTGTGAATTGGGAATGTAAAAATGCAGACTGTAAGATTTAGTAGACATAGTATATGTAAAAATATTTGATAGATTGGTCTTTGAGAAAACTCATATTTATTCAGAAGATGACAGTAAATGATGAAGAGAGAGAGGGAAAAGAATTTGAACTTGTGTCAAAAGCAGCACAGCTCGGTACTTTGGCTAACTGCTAAGACAGAGATTTAGAGTACATTTGAGATGCCAGTAGTCTGTGGTCTGAAATACTTTTTTTCTTTCAAATTGTTCCTGTCCTGATAATATTAAAGGTTGTTCCTGTCTTGACAACTTGCTTCCTGTCTGACTGTGTAGAGTAGTTACCAATGACAGTGTTGTTGTTGGCTTTCTATTGTGTGTGATATCATGACTGACCTGCTAAAAATAACATCTACATATTTAAACCTCTTTTGTGTAAACAATTTGAGGCATATAAATAGTTTGTCTTCCATTCGCCTCAACTTATAAATGAAAGGGGTGGTTCATTGCGATTTTACTTTTTTAACGTTAGTTAGTGTGTACTGTTGCTGTTTGAGCATAAACAATATCTGAAAAGTTACGAAGCTGAAAGTTCAATGCAAATGGCGATATCGTCTTTTAAAATTCTGGCAGTTTAATGCCTACAAAAACGGCTGGTAGGGACTACAAAGAGCTAATTCCCGGGTTCGTGACATAACAAACCCAGATAAACCCCGCCCTTGGGTAAAAAGGCAAAGGGGGTGAGGCCATGCTGCGCTGCTTTAGAGAAGAGGAAGAGAAAACTAGAGGTGCACGTAAAAATCTATTCATATATGAATCACGATTCTGTCTTCTAATGATTCTAATGGATTCACAAGTTTCAAAATCAATGTTCTAAAGCAGCAGTTCTTAATACTGTTCCTCACGTCCCCCTGCTCTGCATCTCTCTCTCTCTCTTTCTCTCTCTCTCGCTCTCTTTCAGCTCAGCTCTAATAATGAACTGTTCCAATTAAACACTTATTTTCACATAGCTATGAGAAGCGTTATACATGGACGCGCGTGCAGTTGCCGCACTGTATTAAAGCATTAATTAGGATAATACCGTATATTAAAAGCTAACATAAGCAGTAGCATTTACAAATAACACTGTATCTAAAAGTATGAGACGACAACAACAAACCAAAAACATAGGTCTACCATTAAAAGCCATGCTTGCATGGGTTCAGCATGATCCTCTTCAGTAATATCCTCTGCTTCTCAATCGGACTCAAACTGATAAGCGATATTAACGACGCCATTGTTTACAATACAACCGGAGCACATGCCGCTGAGGTGAGGGGCAGGTTGTTTAGACACGCACTAGGCGGTTTAGCCAATCACAACACACTGGGCTAGCTAACCAATCAGAGCCCATTGCCTATTTCTGAGGGAGGGGCTTCATAAAAGAAGGAAATTATCAGGGTGTTTCTGAGAAAAGGGACAGAGCGGTGTGGAATAAAGATAAATTATGTGAAAAATAATGAGTTTTTTTAAAAACTAAGCATTAACACATGTTAGACTGCACCCCATAAACACAATCAAGCCTAGAAAAAAAACAGTGAACCACCCCTTTAAAGACACTGAGGTCTGGCTTGGTAAAATTAGTCAAACGGTCCTGAGAGTGGTATATTCAAATTAGGAACTGAAAATATAATAAATTAGCCAAAACATGTAATGAACATGCAAGGAGTAGAAGATATGTAGAACTTTGTGAATAGTGGGCGTTTCCAATTCTGTGGAAATCTGCAGGGTTAACCAACAAATTATTATTTTTTTGAATACAGACCTTGTTTGGCCTGTAGTTCTCACTTGCCTTACAAACTTTTCCCAGGAACTGCCACAAAACAGTTAAGAAAACAAAAAACTAGGGGTGACCTCGAATAGTTGAAGATTCGATGCTGCGATAAGAGGAGCCTGATTCGACTACCAATCTCACAGTTGAATATTCGCTGCGGTGTTATGATCATGCCATTTTGGCCATATGAGGGTGCCCAATGTCTGATTTCAACTACTGGATTTTTTCGATCAGGTATGGTATTAGTGATTTAAAAATATTTAAGCCGGTTTATATATATTGTGTATACATTATTTATCTCGTATAAGATGCATCTGGTTGAGTTGCGCTGCAGTAAAGCGCTTCATTGTAGTACTATGGTGATTATCTCTTCAGCGCGAGCAGTACAAACAACAATGCAGTATATTAATAACTATGACTGGGACTGTCATATACATTATAATGAAAACACTATTATAATAAAACGCGAGTTTAGTTGCCGTGTTTCTGGACGTTGTTACGTGAAGAACGCGTCCACAAAAGGAGTTCATTCAGAGCCACGCAGACACGTTCATGTGCATTCGGGGCATTTTGTGCAGATAGCCTATAAGTCGTAATATTAATATTATAAATAATTAATGAATAAATAATTAAGCATATTCTATATAAAGAATATGAAGAAGATAAATAAAGAGTTAAATCCCATTGATTAAAAAACTTCTATAAAATGCTTTACTCTACTGGTCATCTTCAGCGCGTGCAGCTCAAATGCAGAACATTAATAACTGTCATATACATAACGTTATAATGAGAGTAAAAAAAAATATTGTGAATTCTTGGGGTTTTGCTGACGTTTAATGTTAACTATCTTTTAATCAAAACATAAAACATTATTTTTGTATCTGTGAGGTGTCCGTTACACATTTCCCCTGTGCGTTAACGTCAGTAATTATGACTGTCCAATGTCTGACTTGACTCTTGGTAATATATTTTGCCCCCCGCCCCCAAACATATGATTCGACTTTCAGTCGACTATCGGCAAGATTCGAAATTTCCGATTCGACTTTGTAAATCCTTAGTCGGGGACACCCCTACAAAAAACACTTGTATTTAAAAATAATAAATAAATAAAAATAATTATAAAAAATGTGTGTGTGTATGTACACCTTCAAAAGTTTAGGGTTGGTGAACATTTTTTATGTTTTTGAAAGAAGTCTCTTATGCTCACCAAGGCTGGATTTATTTAATCAAAAATATAGCTAAAAGAGTAATATTGTGAAATATTATTTACAACTTAAAACAACTATTTTCTATTTGGATGTATTTTAAAATGTCATTTATTCCTGTGATGGGAAAGCTAAATTTCATCAGCTATTACTTCAGTCTCATATGATGTTTCCTAAGCTATAGTATCACATTCATTCTTGAAATTCAACAACACCTTATCTGACAGCCTGCTAGATAAATACTTAATTAGTCCAACATCACAACAACAAGGTTTAGTCTATCATAGAAAGCCAAATGTTAAAGTTTCAAGACATAAAAACCCATGTACATGATCAACAAATGTAATACATTGTGACAACACAGCACTGGGCCAATAATACAATGGCATCTCCATCAATCAGCCTGAAAGTCTCTCTAGAGAAGCGTCTATTGTTGAAGCCTTGCGTCATGCTTAAAAAAAAATTAAATAAAATCTTCACACTCACAGTATCTAAGATGTCCCATGGGCAACACTATCAGTATAAAACCACTTATATCATTCAATAAATCTTTGCATCTTCTTCCTTGTAATCAGTGAGATGAGATTCCCTGAGGCTGCGCAGTGATTATGGTGTCAGAGCAATAAATCAACAGTATTCTCCAATGCATTGCTCAAAACTACAAGCCACAAGTGAGAACTAGGTTCCCTGCCAGGAAAAATCGCAAGCCAAACACCAATTCACATGAGTTTCCTGTCTCTGAACACACACACATAAGCAGTTCCTCTCCTTACGGAGGAAGTAACACTGCTCCTGTGAATTTCATATGGTGTAATGACTTTTCATCATGCTGGAAATATAAACCATATATATATATATACAGTATATATATATATATATTCACATCTAATAAAAAAATTAAGTTGGTCTTTTGCCCTTATGGCAATTAATGTGATTAATATTATTAAAATAATTAAATTTAATTATTCAATTATTAATATTTGATCGGAAAAAACACATTTAGATCAAAGTTGGATAGTACTGTCACTGCTGAAAATGGCCTGTCAAACAAAAAATAAATGAAAAGATAAACCTGTTTTCTAAAATTCTGTTACAGCCACAGTGATGTGACAATGCAGCAGAGAACATCTGAGGTCAAAGCATGACCTTTGAAGCTTATATAATACTATAAACTGCCTTTGATAAGCAGAGAAAGTGGCAGACTCCCAGACAAACGGCTTACCCAAACACACGGGCCAAACATCTGAAATGCTCTCCATCATTTGGGTTCTGTGGCCGACAGTGACCTACATCACACAAACACTTCATGCTCTCAGCAACAGCACAGATACAAAAGAAACTGCAGAGGCTTACAAACCATGGCCACAGCTGTGAAGTCTGATATCTGACAGGTTTGAAATGATTGTTTTACTAAATTATGTTTTGGCTGAGCTAGGAAAAATCCAATATAATCCTCTAAGGCTTTGTTCACACAAAGGCAATTTGGTTTTCAAATCCAATATTTAGGACTGACTGTCCATTTAGCAAGTGATGAAATCTGATCTGTTTGTTCAGACAGCACAGCCAATATTACATGTATACATCAGTTACTATAGAAATGCGTCAGCACAATGACAAGAGACTCATACACCAACTGAGAGTGGCTGTTAATAAGTGTGGAAAAAGAAGATGAAAGCTGGCCATTTGGTTTGCTCATGTCCATCATGGCATTTCATCATTTCACCACAACAGTTTACACCTTCATGCATATACAGTGTTCAAAAACACTAACCACGTAAGGAAAAGGTGTGCAAAATGCAAATATTTGGACTATATTTGGTCAGATGATATTAAAAACTTGATGATGTAACATTAATATCCAAAATATGAAAAAAACACATGAATTTCCACCATTCAGACAGAGACACATCTGAACAAGGCCGAGAACGATAAATGAGCTCACTGTCGTATACGCTGCAGTGAAACCTGATTATTTAACCAGGTAGCAT